AAAACAAAAAATATATAAAAACATATATAAGTAATACTAATGTATTAAGTGGTCTGGCATAGGTCCACTTGCAGCCAAAACGCGTTTCACCGAAAATCGGCTTCCTCAGTCAGCTTCAGGATGTCTTCTATCTTCTCTGCCTTTTAAATCTTAATTTGCCCACCAAAAATTCTCTTTTGCCGGTCCGTAGTGATTTGTTATGACGCGCCCGAAATGGCGTCGCGTCACTTCCGGTTTGTTCTTACTACATGCCCCATAGTTCTTTCCGTTCGCGGATGTCACTTCCGGTTGTAAAACGATATAGTTATGGGTAATGTAGTCCTTGATATCGTCGTTTTCTTCAGTTCGTATCGGGCTCAAAAATAAAGAGCCGAAATGGTATAAAAAAGTATCAAAGAGCATGTATCAATATTCAATAATCCATATACAGATGTCCAAATTTAGACACTGTATGTCATATATCTTGCAAGCAATATATATTTTACACTTAATAAACATTTCATATTATATATTTCTTATTTCAGAAACAAGGAAAGGGGGGGGGGGAGTAAAGATATTTTAGATAGACTTTTTATTCTGGACTTTAACTTATATACAATAAGTGTTTAGAAGTAGTGTTACCTCTGAATCTCATTTATAACATTTTTAATTAGAATCACAGACTTATGTATAGGTCCCATAGTTGTAATAAATTAAATCAAATTTGAATGATTTTAATGTCTCTTGCAGTTATTGAATTTTGTCCTCTTGTTAGAAATAATTTAGAATAGGAAAAAAGTGTTTATAAAAAGTTCTTCTTGTTAGAATAATAAATAAAAAAGATTAATAATAAATATTAAAAATATGTAAATAAAAATAATAATAATAATAATTTATTAAATAATGTTTATAAGAATAATAGTAAAAAATAATAAATAAAAATAAATAAAAATAAACATAAATAAAAATAAAAATAAAAATAAAATTAAATATAAAAATAAAAATAAAAATAAATAATAAAAGAAAAATAAAAGAAAAATAATAATAATAAATATAAATAAAAATAAAAATAAAAATAAATAATAAAAATGAAAATAAAAATAAATATAAATAAAAATAAATAAAAATAAAAATAAATAATACAAATAAAATTAAAATAAAAATAAATAAAATTAAAAATAAAATAAAATTAAAATTAATCAATTATAAAAAATGGCATAATTCAAAATCTGCATTAAGTCCTAAGGGGGCTAAGGTATTTAAATTAAAAATCCATTTAGTTTCGATTTTTTCTAACTTCCTTATTTCATCCTCCCCTCTCCAATTTAGTGTGACTTTTTGAATAGCATAAAAATCTAGAAATTGCGGATCTTTATTGTGTACTTGTCTGAAATGATCTGAAACGCTGTGTTTTTCAAAACCTTTTCTTATATTGCGTATATGTTCATTTATTCTTATGTTTAAAGGGCGTTTCGTTCTTCCTACATAGAGGAGATTGCAGGAACATTTCAATAAATATATGACTCTTTTTGAGAAACATGTAGTCATTTCGTGTATTTTATATTTCCTTTCTCTCTTAGAGTCATGGAATTCTGTGATGTGTCTTTTACACTCTTTGTACTTCTACATGCTAGACACTGTCCACAGCCAAAGAAACCTTTGTTCTGAAAAAAAGGAGTAGATGTTTGGTGTCTTATGTGATTTCGTACTAATTTCTGTTTCAAGTTGGGAGCTCCTCTATATATAAATCTCGGTTTTTCTGGCAATATAGAGTACAGCATTGGGTCATTTCTTAATATAGGCCAGTGTCTATTTATAATTTGTTTTATTCTATCGCTTTCTTGATTGAAATTGCAGATAAAAGGTAAGGTGTTTTGTTCGTTTTTTTCTTTAGGTTTATATTTTAACAATGAGAATCTCTCCATAGTTTCCACTTCTTTTATAGTATTTATAAGGGAGTTTTCCATGTACCCCTTCTCCATAAATTGATTTTTAATTTTATTGGCTTGGACTTTAAAAGTGCTTTGATCTGTACAATTCCTACGGATTCTCATTAGTTGTGCTTTTGGGATGTTTCTCAACCAAGGGGAAAAATGGCAACTATTTAAAAAAATATAGTTGTTAACATCTACCTGTTTAAAATAGGTCTTTGTCTTGATATGATTGTCTTCTATGAAAATTGTGAGATCTAAAAAATTAACACTTTCTGTGCTGTACTCCGTGGTTAGTTTTACTCCCCAATCATTTGTATTTAAAAAAGCTAAAAATGTTTTAAGTGAATCCTCTGAACCATTCCAAATAAAAAATATGTCGTCTATGTATCGCTTAGAGGAAAGCAGGTTCGCTCTCCAGTCTTCATTTTCATTGATGTATTTTTCTTCCCAGAATGCCATAAATAAATTGGCATAGCTGGGAGCGAACCTGGTTCCCATAGCGGTGCCAACTTTCTGTAGAAAAAACTCATTATTAAACCAAAAGTAATTATTACTTAAAATTAGTTCTATTCCTTCAATTATAAAATTTATTTGTTCTTCTGGGTAAAAATTCTCTTTTCTTAAAAAGAAGTTGGTAGCTTCTATACCTTTAGTG